AACAGTTAGGCAATTAACAGTGCTCATGTTAAGATCAGCTACTAAGTGAACACCCTTATGAGCTGAGCAAGGGAAGATGGTTTTCAGCACTCTAAAGGAACAAAGGCCACTGTTTTGGTTTATACTTGGAAGTTACTTTTTGCAACTAGATCAGCTATAAGTTGCTTCTAAGTTAATTCTTAGTACCTACAAGATTCTGAGGAAGCAAAGGACTTTTATTTCTGCCTTCCTTTAAAACAGTCAAGGGTTTTTGCTTTTTTTAATCCATTCGTATTCCACGTAAGAGATTTCAGAAGGCCAAAAAATAGCAATTAACTTAATTTTGGTCATAGATAAGTAAGCTGAACAGCCAAATGACATTCTGAACAAAGTAAGTCTCTATTAGAGATTCAGTTTCATTGCAATTACAGAGCTCACAATGCATGGGATAAACACAGAAGAAATTTTAACCTATTTAAACTTCCTACTACACCAAGAAGAAAAAGTGTCCTGAGCTCAGCTGCTGAGAAAATCTTTTGTAAATCACCTTTTCCCATTTTCTGACTTTTAAACGCAGATGCCTCTCTCTACCAACTTCAGAAAGCACTGCTAGAAGTTCTCCACCATTATTTTTCCTAAAACACTTACACGGATAGTTTAATTTCTGAACTCAGAACTTTTCATACAGACTGTGCAATTGCCAAACAACATGCCTACCTTGGTAACTTAAGAATTTTGTTTTATTAATATTTGAAGTTACAGTATTTAGACTAACCCAGCACGTTTCTCTCACTCTTACTCCCCTAGACATCGAACACCTCTTCGCTCCAAAAAAAGATCATTCAGTGACTGCCTCAAAAGTTTACCTAGGCAATTTGCTTTTTCAGCATCAGTCAGACAGTGACTGACACAAAGCCACTGCTACATTCAAAGGGCCCATATCTTGAATTACCGGGTAACCATTCACACAGATCTTCCTCTTTCCCCATTCAACATTTGTTTCTAGAATTACTAAGAAGAGAGCAGCATTATTAAAATATTGTAACAGAGATTTTAGAGACTGATAAAATGCACATCAGCTAATACCAGAAATTACATTTGTCCTGGACACAAACTTTGCCATATACACGGCTAAACGCAAGAACTGCATTTGCTAGCACTGTCAGAAAGCCCAAGCGTTGAAGTTTGTCTGAATTCATACTGGCAACTCAGCTCTCTGTGCACACCACAGATCTCTATTGTCTCATGTTTGACTAGATCACCATAGTGTTTCCTCACAACTGGGAGCACTGAATCTTCTTCTTTTACTGCAGCCATATACGGAAAATGATTAATCTGAGATGTTGTTAACATTAACTAGTGTTTTTACCTTACCTTTTGCCTGAACTTAAATTTTGCTATTCAGAAAGAAGCTAGCAATTTCTTAGCAAACTGGAAAAGAACAGGAAACATTAACTATGGTGATGTTTAAAGTTATGTACTTTTCAGACCAAGACAGACTTTTTCAGACTATAGGGTAGAGAGAGCTAGAACAAAAAACTCCATTCTGCTTTTTGCATTGAGCTTTTCAACGTCAACAGAATTACTCTAATATACCTTAATCCCCACAAAAATCTTAAAAAGTATTTTAACGAAACAGACTTCTGTAATGACTGCAACACATTACCTATTTATTTCATGAGAACAGCAAGGCATTCAGTCCGGATTTATTTATTGCTAGTTACTCTAAAAACTTCTGTGTCCCCTCATCACAACAGTAACTTAGTAACTTAACTCTCATAGCCTTTCCTCCCGAAAGCCTTGCAAGGTAGAAGTTTCCTGTGTTCGCATTACACATGTGAGAAAGCTGAAGCACAAAGCAAACTCCTCACACAGGAAGTCTGTCCTACAGCAACCCTAAAAATCAGACATTTTCCTTAAGGGTTTTGTTGTTTGGTTGGGTTTTTTAAGTCCAGTCTATGAATACAATGTAAAACTACAATCTACAAACGCTAATTTTATTCCCAAGTCTCTTACAGAAGATAAACCAAAAGAAATCTGCCCAGTTCTTTCTGTAAGTGACTTTACCTGCATTTCTTTATTGTTTCCTGGGAGAAGATAGGGTCTTCTTGCATCACCACTTCAACTGAACACTCTTACGCTGCCATATCTCATCCCTCTCCCATCTTTTACTTCAGAGAATTCCTCCTAACATCTTGTCTCAAAGCACAGACACTTATAAAGTCTTGTTTCCTATATCTTTTGTTTCTAAGAGAGTTGATGTTTTTGCACTATTTTGGCTCTGAAGAGTACATCTTCCTCGGGGATTTACGCACACCCTTTCCTTTGAAAGACTGCATAGCCTACCCAGTTGCCTGTTCTCACTTATTTTCATGTAACTACTACCCTTCCATTAAATGTGGTAAATTCATTAACACCTTGGCAGCTTACCAAGACAAAAGCAGCCACAGACACACAGAATAAAACAAAACATCAAACACAGAACTAACAAAACCTACAAGACATTACACTATTCATTCACACGATTTTTGCCAGCACTTTTTTCCCCCCTAATTAGACCGTAAATTCTGTGGGAAGAGACCTTTTTTTTATTCTATACAGGCCTTATTTACAGTAGCCACTGCTGAAAGAGGGAAAGGGAGACGTAGAGTTGCAATGTAACTTAAAGACAAGATAAATAACGTTGTCTACCTTCGGTATAAAAATCACCCTGGCTCTTTAAGAATACTAAACATTAAGTATAATTTTCACTAACTGTACTGTTTGTTACCATTTTCTCTTCCCTTTCAACACGCCCTAAACAACAGCTAAATTAGTTTCACTGAGTCACTGTGTTAACAATGTAATAAAGAAAATTGTTGGTTTAAAACCAAAAAGTTTCCCATGAAAATTAAAAATAAATAAATAATTGCATAAACATCCTCTTCCTTTTAGTTCCTGAAAGAGATCTCATTTATTTGTTGATTACTACATGGTAAAAGAAAACTTTTGTTAAACAGACACAATAACATTTGAGAAATGTTCAACATAGTAATTAATTTAAAAAACATAGTTTTCCACCAGCAAATATTTAACTTAGTACAAGGTAACATTTGTGCTTTAAGGCAGACGCAGATAAATTTGGAGGTTGGAGTTATATTTCTATCCAGGCAATCACTTTGCCGTTTGAGTTTAGGGCCACCATTGCATCCTCAAGTGAATCCAAAGAGAAGCATACAAGCTCCTCACAGAGCTTCAAACCAGAATTTCAGACAGATATATCAATACAGTAAAAGTTGTTGATGGTTCAAGAAAGTAAGCACAGGCTATGAAGAGCAGAAGCCAAACTTTAGAAAGACAGCACACTAAAATTCGGTTATTGCAGAAAATAATGCCACTGAGTTAAAATTCCTTTGCAGACCTACTCCATAAAACCACAGGCATCGGCAGAATCATCTTTCGTCTTCGGCTCGGGCGGAATTTTTTTTTTTTTTTTTTTTTTTTTTTTTTGTTGTTTCCAAAAAGCTTAGCCGTAAGTCACCGAGTGTCAGATGAACGACACGAAGGCGGCAAGTGACTTTCCCGCCACCAACCATTACCGTTCTTCCCCGATAAACACCTCAACAAGGAGTTTCCAGCCAACCCTCCCTCACAAAACAGAGAACTCATGGCGAAGGGGGCGGACGCGGCCGCTCTCAGTCAGGGAGCCCGGGCGAGGAGGAAGCGGAACACCGGGGCTCCCCAGGGCTGCGCAGGCCCACGGGGGGGCACCCATGGGGGGGGCGCCCCCAAGGC